AGAAGGTTAATGAAACTGTTCTGCACTATTAGCTAAGAATACGATTTATTGTTTATATTTTGGTGAAGAAGTTCATGATTTTCCTGTGTCTAGAATATATGCAAAAGTTATGGTTTATTGTGAACATGTTGGTGAAGAAGTTCGAAGTGACACTGTGTGTTCTCGGTCATTCAGAGAATGAGGACACATATAAACTGTGAAGCTGAAATACGTGTGTGGCGAACTCTGATTCTAATATACACATCTTTGGCTCTTTGCACGGAAGAAGGGAGGGTGGGAACTGTGTAGCTGATTTGTGAATATGTCCGACGTGAGTGAATGATCTTAGCTGATTTGTAGCATTGTTGTGAATATTGTTCAGCCGACTGAAAGCTGTTAGCTTATAGTTAGCGTGGGTCGTAGCTACCGTGAGTGAACGCGGGGCTGGAGAGGAAACAATGAGCCTCTGCTCGGGAGTAGTTTGTCAAGCTGAGTAAATGATCTTAACTAGGGAATGAGTGATCTGATTAACAGATATTTGAGTCAGTTGAAAATGTTTGTTAAATATGATTGGTGAAAGTATTTGAGAAAATGTGCAATAGAAGGTTAATGAAACTGTTCTGCACTATTAGCTAAGAATACGATTTATTGTTTATATTTTGGTGAAGAAGTTCATGATTTTCCTGTGTCTAGAATATATGCAAAAGTTATGGTTTATTGTGAACATGTTGGTGAAGAAGTTCGAAGTGACACTGTGTGTTCTCGGTCATTCAGAGAATGAGGACACATATAAACTGTGAAGCTGATATACGTGTGTGGCGAACTCTGATTCTAATATACTCATCTTTGGCTCTTTGTAGAGTAAAATAAAGCAGACTTTCAAATTAGATGTGTAGAGGAGACAGCTTCATTCTGTACCACGCTGCACAATTATTTGGATAAATGCACATCTGCTGGATATTTATTTTGGAACACTTGTGAAATCATGTTTTTTCATAATAAAACAATGAAATAATATGGAAATTGGCTGGAAAGCCTTCACATATAGTGTATATTGATATTCTTTTGCATCAATCAAAGCAATATGGCACCCTAACTTGTAATAACTGATACAATCTGCCCTGTAACAGTTATTCTGTTTATACCTATCAATATGCACGCATAATCTAGTGTGTGCAGCAAAAAACTGCAAAATAAATTTGTCCTATAAAAGTAAAACTCCCAGTCACACAGTTTTTACTTATCCTTTATGTTTTTATTTGGATTTTTAGAGGACCGAACTAAGTAGCTCATAACAGACAGGCTAATTCATGTAAAATAAAAAAGTAGAACTCATCTGCATGTAGGTCCCTTTACTTTAAAACTTTTCAATAAATTCCAGTGAGACAAACTGCCTAAGGAGCTTAGGTGGTAACACACATTAACTGTTTATGTTTATGCATTTAACAGATGTTTTTATCCAAAGCAACTTACAAAGTAGACACAATGTTACAGTTATAAACAATATGACAATAATATGTTGTTAATATATTTATGCTATTTATGCCCCGGCCATCAAATAATAAGAAGAGAAAGAACAAGTATATAACTAGTTGAATGACCCTTCAGTGGCCCGAGGGGGTCTTTATCACTTTCACTGGCACTAAGCAACTTTAAGGAGGATGGCAGAAACCGTGCCACACTAAACAACTATAGATGTGCAGACTCTTTTACTGCATATATCATTAAAGTCATTCTCCATTCTTTATGATGAAGAATGTTAATGCAATTATATTTCCCTGAGAGACTGTATATCCGTGCATTTGCGCAGGGTTGACATTCAGGCAATGTGGCCCCTTCCTGCTGGGATCTATACATCTATTTACTGTGAAATTATCAATCATAACATTATATTTATCTGTTTCAAGGTTCTAAACTCGTCAGCACATCAGTTGCTCAATGAAGTGGCAGTGATAGGGGTTTGTTTGTGTAGGAATACGGTACAAAAAACGTATACTCCTGCATGTGGTGAGCATTGAATTTAGATGTGACATGTTACACCACAACTTTGTTTCAGACATTCTACTTCTTCTCCAGGATATCCTGAGCTATCGGTATAGTTATGCTGCTATAGGCTTAGGGGACAGTGGTGTCGGATGCAGGGGTTTTAAAGGATAACAGGATTGGGTGGGGGGATGGGGGGTGGCGCTGTAAGTCTCAATCAATTAAACAGAAACACTTAATAAACAGTGTTCATACACTGTCACAAGAAAAGGTGATTACTGTTCCTGGGTTTTACCATCCTTTCATCAATATCAGGTGGACCTGTCTCTGCTGCAAAGCCACAAATTGTTCCCAGTCCAGCCCTGAGTCATCTCCAGGAACTTTAAACTCAGACAGATTTACTTGATTTGTGATATTATTTAAACCCCATACATATACATACATTATCTAGTGTTTTGTTTTCTTCTGTCTTGTTTGCTGAAATAATAGGACTTCATTCTAACTCGATTTCAACCTTTAACTCACTACACCGTTTTACTTTTTGCTTAAAATAACACTTAGACCAATGTTTAAGGTCAAGTAGAAAACATTAAGTCATTATCTAACGTTTATCTTAAAGTTTACTTTCAGTTAGTATTATAAGTTACCACATTCTACTTGACAGTCAAAATATTATAACTTAGAATCCTATAAAATAAATGGATAAGTTATTTTACACAATGCAAAAAGGGATAAAAAGACAACTGAACAAATTTGTTTATCTTTAAGAGCTACAGGAATCAAATTGTTCCAGTACAAGGTTGAATCTAAAACCATCTAAGTAACCGGTCCAGCATTTTAATGTAATTCTAGCTGACTTACACAGAAAATGAACAGACATATTGAATGAGTAGTTATTTTAAACAAGCAATAAAAGGAAATGAATCTTCAACAGCACAAACCACAAGGAGGCTAAAGATGGGTGAGTGATTTTGCTTTACCACGCCATGATCTATGCCGAAGAAAGACAATGTTTTATTTAGCACCACTGATCAGTTATGAAGTGTGCAATGAACAGAGTGCATGTTTGACTTTAATGTTGAAAAAAGGATCAAATATAGGCATTTGCTAAGTCATCTGTTCATCAATTAAAATTTGAGGGGAAAGATTAAAACAGTGTACCTTTTCTGGAAAGATAAGGATCACATTTGAAGTATTTATATGGTTGCATAATACAGTGTCCTACTATGTGTGGTATAGCCCCACTTTGAGTAAATAATTATAATAGAAGCTTTTACATGAACACAAGCTATAAAAAGGAAAAAAAAGAAAGGAAAAGAGTGCAAGACACCATCATTGTTGCTTTAATATCAGCCTCTGATAATGCTTTTAACTGCATGTGACATTTCTCATCCTGTTGTGAGTGAATTGTCCTCTTTGATATTACTGTTGTTGTAGAACGATTGCTTTTATCTGCAGTCAATTACAAGTAGGGAACATCTGAACCGTGTGTTTCACTGCATTTCATCATATTTAAGAAGCCAGTTCCAAGCTGCACATTACCTGCTACTTGACTTCAGATTGACACCGGAGGGAATGCATTTTTCCTGTGATATGCTGCCAAAAACAGTTACAAAAAGAACTGTCAAAAGCAAGAGAAGTGTGCTGCATGACCAAATGAAAAGAGCAGGGAGCAAGCCTGAGCTGTGCAAACGCACATCAGAGAACTGCAACATACAGCCATACACAGCAATCTATGATGAGGTATTACTAATAACTGGTCATAACCTTTAAGAGCGAATCTGGGCTCAACTAATTTATCAGCTGTCTATTGTGTACCTACTGGTGTCTGTGCTTGTGCTCTCCTCCAGTTTAATAGTTGTCTGAAATTGTACAAAATCACCTGCTCTATGTGATTGAAGAGGAATCCCTACACAATCCTAAAAAATGTCTATAATACTCTTGGCTCTCAGTTGTGTTCAGCCATAAAATCTTCAATCCCCTAGAAAAGGTGGGAAAAGATACAGGATAATAATAAAGCCATGCTAGATTAAACCTAAGATAACCCATTTCCCACTAGAAAAATCTGTGGACAAAGGTGAGTGAAAAGTGATGAAATATGACAAATGTTGCAAGCAACAGAAATCTAAAACAGCTCACTTCAAAATGTTAGAGGAATACATCCCTTTCCAAGGGTCCCAGAAACTGTTTGTGGAGATTTCACAACTGGCTTGAGGTTGTTGCTGACAGAGTGAGAGGTGAAAACCTATTTAGTTTTTAGTCATTGCACACAGTTTGTTTTCCCTATTTGTCTTGATTTCTCATCTTGTGGAAATGGATGAAAAAAACAACAAAAGACTACAGATTGTAGGAATAATTCAGTTTAAGTTTTGATGCATCTTGAATATAAATGAAAGAAAAAAAACTAAAACTAAATTACAAGGAGAGTATTAATGGGAGACTGAAACAAAGACAGGACTAACAAGCTGATTGGGAGCAGGTGTGAAGAGAGGAGTCTGGAAAGGAGCTAGGGAGAAGGAGACCAACACAAAAGAGCAACAGAGGGAAACAAATAAAAACCTAAGACCTGAAATATAACCAGAAAACATGGAGCAAATTAAGGCTGATTACTCAAAAGAAAACAACAGAACCAAGACTGTGACCGCCTAGTTCAAACTGCAGCACAGACTGGCACCATAAGCTGTCAGATTTTGATCTACAGTTGCAGCCATTGGAAATGGTCCTTCACAGTCAAACACCAGCCGAATGGAAGCCCAGTTCCCAGCAAAACCCCCTTCAACTTCCAGCCACTGGAGTGACCCCCTCCTCCTGGGCATGGATATTTTTTTACTCTGATTCCACCCTTTCACTGAATTAGAAGCTTTGACCAGGAGATTGTGTAACCAAGCTGTTTTAAGGCTTATCCTTTATTTCCCGTTTCTAAACTTACTCTGTCAGGCACTAAGTCTGTAATCTCGCGAGATTTTCCCACGAGACTTCCGGTGAGATTTCAACAAGTATGGCCGCTCACTGTTGTATGTAGCATGGGCTGGTGTCTTTATGGAGCTGCTGCAGGTAGGCAATTAGCCGACTTAAAGTCATATTTTTCTATCTTAACTGCTATAACACTCACTGGTATGCCTTGCAACTTTTAGAAACTTCTACCAACCGAGGGTTGATGTATTTTTGAGCCCTGTGAGACTCTCTAAAACCGGAACTGGTGAGTGTTAAATTGTTTGTTGTGGCATGCTAATGCTAAACACCCAGTGTTGATAGTGCTAGCTTAGCATGGGTGCTAGCTGCACTTTTATATTGTTTTCCATTGTTTCTAGAATCATGGCTAACAACTATATTGCCTAGCTTTCACAGTTGTAATGTTGCATTAGCCCGTTTTTGTTTTCATTTGACCAACTGGGTTTAAATTATTTAACAATAACCTTATTTTACGGTTATTGGTTGAAAACCTATATAGGCATATTGAAATGCATTTGTAAAGTGTACTTATGTATGAAACCATTTATTATGGTAAAGAATTGTTAAGAGTACTCGAATAATTGTTTTGTATATTTTTATTTTAACCTCTTATACCCTAAGGGTGTATAAATAAATTTCTGCCTGACAAAAACACACAAAAGTAAATAACTTATAGCCTCAAAGCTATTAGATTTAAGAAGAAACTTTTGGTATTGCCTAGCTTTCACAGTTGTAATGTTGCATTAGCCCGTTTTTGTTTTCATTTGACCAACTGGGTTTAAATTATTTAACAATAACCTTATTTTACGGTTATTGGTTGAAAACCTATATAGGCATATTGAAATGCATTTGTAAAGTGTACTTATGTATGAAACCATTTATTATGGTAAAGAATTGTTAAGAGTACTCGAATAATTGTTTTGTATATTTTTATTTTAACCTCTTATACCCTAAGGGTGTATAAATAAATTTCTGCCTGACAAAAACACACAAAAGTAAATAACTTATAGCCTCAAAGCTATTAGATTTAAGAAGAAACTTTTGGTACGTCTGTAATGGTAAGATGTCATAGAATGGTTTTCTGGTGTCAGCACCATTGTAGCTTTGACCCTGCCTGAAATATTAGGGACAAAATACAAAATATTTTGTATTTTTTGAACCTCGCCAAAATTTTCTTTGAAATAAACATTGCAAAACACTACCAAAATATTATTTATAGCACAAAAAAGTAGTACAGACTTTTAAATCTAAATGTTGTGTAAAAATATACCAAATTTGGACTCAATCAGATGAATCATATTTATTTTAGAATGGTATTAGTGAGAAATTTCTTAGGCGGAGAGGCCATTTTGGCACATTTATCCATAAATGTCACCAAACTGTGCCAAATATGTTTTTTACATCAATACTGGGGGTTTGGTAAAATTACGAGGTCATGTAGCAGCTGGACCCGCCGGTGGGTCCGTAGGGTTCAAGGGGTTAAGATAAATCATGTACATGTAGATGACTATATAAATGTTTGATATTAATTAGGAACTAAGCATTTTTTAATCATTGTGCTAATTATTGGTCATGTTTATACAGGCCAGGTTCCTTTGTTCCCATATATTGGGTGGCGAGCTAGAGACAGGCCTCGTGCCTCAGCCTGGAAAGAAGCGACTGCAACTCCCATCAGTGTGGTAGGAGGCACTGCAGCTCGTTTTTCTCAACCCACATACAGCCATTTACTTACCTTTCAATATCATTCAATCCTTGGTTCACAATCTTTTTTCAACCTTTTTTTGTTACAATAATACAGTTTTGTGGGACTATATGAAGTGGAAATTGCAGACCACAGTTTAATTACAAATTATGTATTTGTTCATTTAGAAAAATTGAAGTGTCTTGTTTGTACTTTTTGTGTGCAACTGTAAATATTGTAAATATTTTCCTTTTTCATATATTACACCAATTTTTGCACCTGAATTCTGTGTGGCGTCTCATTGAGCACATCTTCAACATTCTCCGAGAGCTGAACTTAGACTTCTGATATTCCTATGATTACAACTTTTATTTTATTCATTCCTTATATCGGCATTTGGATAAAGAAATGCTACAAGTTGGCGAGCTAGCCAGGAGAATGTTGATTTGTGCTTAATTTAGGTTATATAGTCATCTTTTTTTTGGTCATTTTTTTTTTTTGCATCATGGATATCTTTCTTAAGTGTGGTATCAAAATCCCTAATGCTGTACTAGTTGAAGGCATACAAGTGAAAGAAGATACAGAAGAAGCCCTTGATTTTCTGAAATCGTACGGTTCAATTGAACACCATGAAATTATTTCTGCACCTGATTCAGAGTTTGATGCAACATTGGTGGTAGAGTTTTCCTCCGGTGCTGCTATCAAAGCTTTAGGACCATCTCTGCCACACACACTGGTTTCTACTGATCAAACAGTAACATATTGCATTTCTGACTTAGCAACAGTCTGTGCGGCGCATGAAGCAAAATATAAAACATTATTATACATGTCTGAAATGAAGGACTTAGCCAAATTGACTGGGAAAGAATATGGGGATGTGCTGAAGGCCATGATGACTCAGATTGGTCACTCCATTGCTTCGCTCCAGCCGGTGCCACCGATGAAAGAGGACACAGAGGATATTACCCCGTCAATGGAGCCCTGGGTGAAGCCATCAGCTGTACCATCGCCAACCCCTGGTCCTTCTTCAGGCAGTGCAGTGCCCAGCATGAAACAGGAGCCATCTACTTACCAATCAGGTACTACTTCACAACCTGGGCCACGACCATCCATTTCCAACCTGGATATCCACCCACCTGAGGTCCAGCGTTATGTTGTAGAGCACATTGTGAAAAGTGATGATGCTACACCACACCACCAGAGACTCAGAGTGTTTTCAGGACGAGTCCCTAGACCTCCTAATGAAGCAGACTTTGAAACCTGGAGGTCTGCATTAGAATTACTTCTAAAGGACCCTTCCATGTCCGATCTCCAACGCTCAAGAAAAATTGTTGACAGCCTGTTACCGCCTGCTGCAGACCTAGTTAAAAACTTGAGCTCTGAAACCTTACCTGCTTTGTACCTGGATGTGCTTGACTCAGCATTTGGCACTGTTCAAGATGGTGACGAGCTGTACGCCAAATTTATGGACACTTTTCAAAATGCTGGGGAAAAACCGTCTTCCTATCTCCAACGGCTTCAAGTTTCTCTTAATGCAGCTGTGAAGAGAGGGGGAGCTTTGGAGACCAACATCCATCAACATTTGTTAAGCCAGTTTTGTCGGGGCTGCTGGGATGACAATTTGATTGCTGAGCTCCAGCTAAAGCAGAAGAAGGCAAAACCACCTACTTTTGCTGAACTATTGCTTCTTTTGCGCACTGAAGAGGATCGAGAAGCTGCAAAAACCCTTCGAATGAAGCAACATCTAGGGTCCTCCCGACACAAAGTAGCCACCAATGCTCAGTATGCAACCACGGACCGTGAAGAGCAAGGAGCAGTAGCTGCCCTAACCAGCATCACCCAGCAGCTTGCACAGCAGCTAGCAGATGTGCAACAGCAGCTGAAATTATTGACTGCCAACCAGCCAACTCTGACCAACCATCACTTAAAACCTCAGTACTTCGGTAAACGGCCTGGTAAACCAGAGAAACCCCCTGCACAGCCAACACGTCATGGCGCCCTATCTCAGCCCAAACCTGGCTATTGTTTCCGATGTGGTGAGGATGGTCATATACGTCCACAGTGTGAGAATCAGCCGAATCCCACTCTGGTTGCAAGAAAGAAGAAACACTTTGCCCAAAAACAAACTAACTTCCGCCAGCATCCGTTAAACTAAGCCTGGTTCCTGTTGGGGGACAGACGGGGACCAAACCTGTCCCAAAGAAAAGAAGACTGCTCAGTATGCAAATGTTTTACAATCAACTGTGAAGAGGAATCCAGTTAAGTTACCAGAAGGGCTTATTGGATCCAAATGTACAGCCATGGTGAATCTTGCTGGATGTGATTGCTGCTGCCTGTTGGACACAGGGTCTCAAGTGACTACGATTCCGATTTCCTTCTACAACAAAAACCTCAGTGATCAACCAGTCAAGCCATTACATAACTTGCTTGAAGTAGAAGGTGCTGCTGGTCAGTCTGTACTATACTTGGGCTACATGGAGACAACAGTGACATTTCCCAAATAATTTTTGGGGTCTGAATTTGCAGTGACAACACTTGCACTCGTAGTTCCTGATGTGTGTCCAGGAAGTCTGTCTTCTGTGCTAATTGGCATGAACACTCTCGAGATCCTATACACACAGTATGTGGACACTGATTTCACCTCCTTCCAGCCAAGTGCCCCGGGATACCAAGCCGTACTGAAGCTCCTAAAATTAAAACATCAACAGAATCAGAGGGGCAGTGCCGGTGTTGTGAGACTGATGAGCAAGAACCCAGTTCTCATTCCTGCAGGCCACACCATTGTTCTAGAGGGCTCTGCACACAGACCAATGGGGCATCATTGAACATCCTGTTTCACCTCTCCCTGGAGGTCTTTGCATTCAGAACTGCTTGGTTACTCTTCCAAATAGTTCCCCATATACAGTTCCTGTCATTATGAAGAACGAGTCTGAACAAGATGTACTGATTCCACCAAGGACAATCATCGCAGACATTGGAACAAAACCTACCATCTTGACTCAGCATGCTGTTGATACTACAGGTGCTGGTCATAAAATTATAATATCATGAAAAAGTAGATTGATTTCAGTAATTCAATTTAAAAAGTGAAACTTGTATATTATATTCATACATTACATACAAACTCATATATTTCAGATGTTTATTTTGTTTAATTTTGATGATTACAAATGACAACAAATGAAAATCTCAAATTCATCATATCAGAAAATTAGAATATTGTGAAAAGGTTCAAAATTGATGGCCCCTGGTGCCACACTCTAATCAGCTAATTAACTCAAACCACCTGCAAAAGCCTTTAAATGGTCTTTCAGTCTAGTTCTATAGGCTACACAATCATGGGGAAGACTGCTGACTTGACAGTTGTCCAAAAGACAACCATCGACACCTTGCACAAGGAGGGCAAGACACAAAAGGTCATCGCTAAAGAGGCTGGCTGTTCACAGAGCTCAGTGTCCAAGCACATTAATAGAGAGGCGAAGGGAAGGAAAAGATGTGGTCGAAAAAAGTGTACAAGCAAGAGAGATAACCGCACCCTGGAGAGGATTGTGAAACAAAACCCATTCAAAAATGTGGGGGAGATTCACAAAGAGTGGACTGCAGCTGGAGTGAGTGCTTCAAGAACCACCACACACAGACGTATGAAAGACATGGGTTTCTGCTGTCGCGTTCCTTGTGTCAAGCCACTCTTGAACCACAGACAGCGTCAGAAGCGTCTTGCCTGGGCTAAAGAGAAACAGGACTGGACTGCTGGTGAGTGGTCCAAAGTCATGTTCTCTGATGAAAGTAAATTTTGCATTTCCTTTGGAAATCAAGGTCCCAGAGTCTGGAGGAAAAGAAGAGAGGCACTTCATCCACGTTGCTTGAAGTCCAGTGTAAAGTTTCCACAGTCAGTGATGGTTTGGGGATGCCATGTCATCTGCTGGTGTTGGTCCATTGTGTTTTCTGAGGTCCAGGGTCAACGCAGCCACATACCAGGAAGTTTTAGAGCACTTCATGCTTCCTGCAGCTGACCAACTTTTTGGAGATGCAGATTTCATTTTCCAACAGGACTTGGCACCTGCACACAGTGCCAAAGCTACCAGTACCTGGTTGAAGGACCATGGTATCCCTGTTCTTAATTGGCCAGCAAACTCTCCTGACCTTAACCCCATAGAAAATCTATGGGGTATTGTGAAGAAGATGCAATACACCAGACCCAACAATTCAGAAGAGCTAAAAGCCACTATTAGAGCAACCTGGGCTATCATAACACCTGAGCAGTGCCACAGACTGATCGACTCCATGCCACGCCGCATTGCTGCAGTAATACAGGCCAAAGGAGGCCCAACTAAATACTGAGTGCTGTACATGCTCATACTTTTCTTGTTCATACTTTTCAGTTGGCCAACATTTCTATAAATCCTTTGTTTTTATTGGTCTTCAGTAATATTCTAATTTTCTGATATGATGAATTTGAGATTTTCATTTGTTGTCATTTGTAATCATCAAAATTAAACAAAATAAACATCTGAAATATATGAGTTTGTATGTAATGTATGAATATAATATACAAGTTTCACTTTTTAAATGGAATTACTGAAATCAATCTACTTTTTCATGATATTCTAATTTTATGACCAGCACCTGTAAAGCAGAGAATAGGAAATCAACACTGGAGTACAATTTTGGTGATTCACCCATTCCACTTGAATGGAGGAACCGGATAACAGCCAAGCTTAATGAAATGCCTGAAGTCTTTTCCCACCATGACATAGACTTTGGCTGTACTGACCGAGTTAGACATTCCATCAAGCTCAGTGATGAAACCCCCTTCAAGCACAGAGCAAGACCAATACACCCCAATGACCTGGAGGCAGTCGGATCTCACCTGCGTGACCTCCTTGAAGCCGGAGTAATAAGAGAGTCTGAGTCACCTTTCTCATCTCCAATCGTGGTGGTCCGAAAACGCAATGGTGCTGTCCGGTTGTGTATTGACTATAGAAAATTAAATTTGCAAACTGTGAAAGATGCTTATGCACTCCCAAACTTGGAGGAGTCTTTCTCAGCCCTGACTGGATCTAAATGGTTTTCTGTCCTTGATTTGAAGTCGGGGTATTACCAAATTGAGATGGATGAGGCAGACAAGGCAAAAACTGCTTTTGTTACGCCACTGGGGTTCTGGGAGTGGAACAGAATGCCACAGGGTATCACAAATGCCCCAAGTACTTTTCAGCGGCTTATGGAGAAGTGTATGGGAGACTTGCATCTCAAAGAAGTCCTTGTGTTTCTGGATGACATAATCATTTTCTCATCCACCTTGGATGAGCATGAGAAACGACTGCTCAGAGTGCTGTCCAGGTTAAAAGAGTTTGGGTTGAAGCTATCCCCTGAAAAATGCAAATTTTTTCAGTCGAGTGTGCGATATTTAGGACATATTGTTTCTGAGAAGGGTGTTGAAACTGACCCAGAAAAGATCTCATCGTTAAAATCCTGGCCAGTTCCACGTAATCTAAAAGAGCTGAGATCATTCCTGGGTTTCGCTGGGTACTACAGACGGTTTATTAAAGATTATGCCAGCATTGTCAAACCTCTGAATACACTTACCCGTGGTTATGCTCCAGTTCGGCGCTCCACCACAAAGAAGAATCCTTCTAGCAGTTACCTTAATCCGACACAATCTTTTGGAGACAGATGGACCAAAGATTGCCAAACTGCTTTTACCTCTGTCATTGCCAAACTAACCTCTGCTCCAGTGCTTGGATTTGCAGACCCCAAGGTGCCATATATCCTGCACACCGATGCAAGCACCATAGGGCTTGGAGCAGTCCTGTATCAGGAACAAGAAGGCCAGCTCCACGTTATTGCTTATGCCAGCCGCAACCTGAGTCCGAGTGAGTCACGATACCCAGCTCACAAGCTTGAATTTTTGGCTCTTAAGTGGAGGGTGACTGAGAAGTTCCATGACTATCTGTATGGAGCCAATTTTACAGTTGTAACAGACAGCAACCCTCTTACATATGTTCTGACCTCTGCAAAGCTTGATGCCACAAGCTATCGGTGGTTAGCTGCTCTTTCAACCTTTTCATTCAAGATCCAGTACCCGGGCTGGCCGTCATAACCATGATGCAGATGCTCTGTCAAGGCGTTCCCATGGAGAATCCTTAGATCACTCATGCAAAGATGGGGAACTTGTACATCACCTGACAAAGCAATTATGTAAACCAGGTGAAGCTGAAGAAGTTTCCCCCGAGATTGTTGAAGCCATTTGCCAGAGCTGCCTGGTTAGAAGCTACCATCCGTCAGACTCCGTTTCTGCCAACATTGTCCTGGTTGAATCCCTGGCGCTCAGCACCAACGCTATCCCATCCAGTTACACCACGGATGATTCCCATGGCCTACCTGTCATTCCATCACTGTTGCATGAAGACCTCTTAGAGGAACAACGAGCTGACCCTGCCCTCTGTGAGGTCATTTATCAACTGGAGACTGGTGAGAAAGTTCCCCAAACTGCTCGAGAAAAATTACCAGAGCTTCCACTGCTGTTGAGGGAGTGGAATCGATTAAAGCTTCAGGATGGTATCCTGTATAGGGGGAGGCGAGAAAATGACATACTCAACCTCCAGTTAATCCTTCCACCCAACCTGCGACCTATGGTTTTGAAGGCTCTCCATAATGACATGTGGCACATGGGCATAGAACGTACCCTTGATCTTGTGAGGCAGCGCTTCTTCTGGCCAAAGATGTCGGCAGACGTCGAGCGTACCATCAAAACATGTGGCCGATGTGTGAGACGGAAGGCACTGGCAGAAAAGGTTGCTCCCTTGGTAAACATCCGAACCAGTCGACCACTTGAATTACTCTGTATGGATTTTTTGTCACTCGAACCAGACAGTAGTAATACCAAGGATATTCTAGTCCTTACTGACCACTTCACAAAGTTTTCTGTAGCTATTCCTACCCCTAATCAGAAGGCTAAAACTGTAGCAAAGTGTCTCTGGAATGATTTCATGGTGTACTATGGTATACCAGAACGGCTGCACCCTGACCAAGGACCAGATTTTGAGTCGAAGCTAATCAAAGAGCTCTGTGAGGTTGCCGGTATAAAAAAGACTCGGACCACTCCGTACCACCCACGGGGAAACCCGGTCGAGCGTTTCAACCGCACTCTGTTGAATATGCTGGGGACACTTGAAACCAAACAGAAATCTAAATGGCGAGAGTTTGTGAAACCTCTGGTACATGCATACAACTGTACAAAGAAGGAAGTAACAGGTTTCACACCATATGAGCTGATGTTTGGACGATCTCCACGACTCCCTGTTGACTTGGCTTTCGGTTTGCCGATTCGAGAGGCTTCATTGCCCTTACATTCAGAGTATGTTAAGAACCTCCGTTCACGGCTTGAAGAGAGCTACAAACTAGCTTCTGAAAATGCACTCAAATCAGGTGAGAAAAATAAGAGCCGTTTTGATCAGCGCATAACACCCGCCTGTCTTGAGGTTGGAGACCGGGTGCTTGTCCGCAATGTCCGTCTGCGAGGGAAGCACAAGTTGGAGGACAAATGGGAGCAAAGAGTTTATGTGGTCATTAAGCGAGCAGGTGAACTACCTGTTTACACTGTGAAACCTGAAGACACAGAAGGACCAACTCGCACTCTGCATCGAGATCTGCTGCTTCCCTGTGGTTTCCTACCCGCCAGTACAATTGAAGATCATCCTGTTACTACTCCAATTCGCAGGCCGGAAACTCGTAGCCAGTGCCAAAGTCACCCTGATTTTGCAGTTGACCTGGAAGAAGAGGAGACTGATTCTGTAATGTCAGATTGTCCTATTCCTATCCAGCCTCCGATCAAATTCACGGTGGAAAGATTCAGTCAACACAAACCTGATTCTTGTGACAATGCTGCAGCTCCAAGCAGCGCAGTTAATACTGACCTTTCCTCATCACCAGTACAAGCTACTGTTCCCCCTGCAATAATGCCATGTGAGGGTCGTTTACCTGAGTTTGAAGAGTCTTTGCTGCTACCTGAGGTAGAAGTTCCATCAGCATCCAGTGACAAGTTGGGTACAACTGGAGTACCTCAACTGGCAGAAGATGCAGAAGTTTACCTACCTATAGAACAACATGAGGAGGAAGATATAAATATCAATGTTCCTATTGAAGCCTTACCTGATGCCAAGGTGTCCGATGAGCTTGAGGCTGAAGACTCCATGCCAGATCAATCTGAGTCATCATTGGGTTCTGTCAGTCCTAGTCCTATTGCACCCCTTGAACCATCAGAGGTTGAATCATCCCTACGCCGTTCTTTTCCGGCAACGGCAACCACCTAGCCGGCTACAATATTCAGAACTGGGAAAGCCATTGATTTCGGTAGTCCAGACATTATTTCAAGGCTTGTCAAATGCCTACTCAGAAATTCTAAGTCGTGCCCCTGCAGCAGAAAATTCTAGTTGTAAGACTTGTAGTTTCCATGCAACGGGACGTGCATGAACTAAGGGAGGAGGGTGTAACCAAGCTGTTTTAAGGCTTATCCTTTATTTCCCGTTCTAAACTTACTCTGTCAGGCACTAAGTCTGTAATCTCGCGAGATTTTCCCACGAGACTTCCGGTGAGATTTCAACAAGTATGGCCGCTCACTGTTGTATGTAGCATGGGCTGGTGTCTGTATGGAGCTGCTGCAGGTAGGCAATTAGCCGACTTAAAGTCATATTTTTCTATCTTAACTGCTATAACACTCACTGGTATGCCTTGCAACTTTTAGAAACTTCTACCAACCGAGGGTTGATGTATTTTTGAGCCCTGTGAGACTCTCTAAAACCGGAACTGGTGAGTGTTAAATTGTTTGTTGTGGCATGCTAATGCTAAACACCCTGTGTTGATAGTGCTAGCTTAGCATGGGTGCTAGCTGCACTTTTATATTGTTTTCCATTGTTTCTAGAATCATGGCTAACAACTATATTGCCTAGCTTTCACAGTTGTAATGTTGCATTAGCCCGTTTTGTTTTCATTTGACCAACTGGGTTTAAATTATTTAACAATAACCTTATTTTACGGTTATTGGTTGAAAACCTATATAGGCATATTGAAATGCATTTGTAAAGTGTACTTATGTATGAAACCATTTATTATGGTAAAGAATTGTTAAGAGTACTCGAATAATTGTTTTGTATATTTTTATTTTAAGATAAATCATGTACATGTAGATGACTATATAAATGTTTGATATTAATTAGGAACTAAGCATTTTTTAATCATTGTGCTAATTATTGGTCATGTTTATACAGGCCAGGTTCCTTTGTTCCCATATATTGGGTGGCGAGCTAGAGACAGGCCTCGTGCCTCAGCCTGGAAAGAAGCGACTGCAACTCCCATCAGTGTGGTAGGAGGCACTGCAGCTCGTTTTTCTCAACCCACATACAGCCATTTACTTACCTTTCAATATCATTCAATCCTTGGTTCACAATCAACCTTTTTTTTGTTACAATAATACAGTTTTGTGGGACTATATGAAGTGGAAATTGCAGACCACAGTTTAATTACAAATTATGTATTTGTTCATTTAGATTTTATTTGTTTGTACTTTTTGTGTGCATCTGTAAATATTGTAAATATTTTCCTTTTTCATATATTACACCAATTTTTGCACCTGAATTCTGTGTGGCGTCTCATTGAGCACATCTTCCACATTCTCCGAGAGCTGAACTTAGACTTCTGATATTCCTATGATTACAACTTTTATTTTATTCATTCCTTATATCGGCATTTGGATAAAGAAATGCTACAATTGCACTTCTCTTTAGATCTTAATTACCAAAAATCATGACAGAATCTTTTAGTACAAAGATTGATGTTTAACAGGATTTGTAGGGGACCAACCAAGGACCAGCCAAGGGCCCATCATGGAAAGTGGGGAAATTTTTGAATAGCTACTACTGTAGAGAGTCTCAACCAAAACCAACCCTGATGCCAAAGAGCAGAAAGCCCTAGAGAACTAAATGGCAAAGTGGATTGGGTGTTTTGGCCTCCCTGCAAGGCCCATGAGGATGAAGACATCGTGGATATGATGAAACAAGCCAACAAAAGGTTTAATATGTGCAGTGTGATATATGCTAAAAAGAGAATCCGTGTGTGAAGTTCTATTCTGCACAGTGTTATACAAACAAAATAGAGAAAAAGAGGACCTGTGCGTAAAGAACTCTTATTCAGTACAGTGTGATATATATGTTTAAAAAAGCAGTTTGTGGAGAAGTTCTATTATTTACGCCGTTGACTAAAATGACAACAATTTGACTTATTGAAATTGGTTTTAGTCATTTAGACTAAGACTAAAACTAAATCGGGAAGGCAATGACTAAATATGACTAAGACTAAAATTGATTTGGAGTCCTGTTTAAGAGAGAATGGAGCAAGAGATTGTCAAAGTAATCGGTGCAGCTGATTCTATAATGAGGACAATGCACTGGAGTCCTTTGGTTGGAGAGCTGAGCCAAAATACAAAGCTCTACATATTCCGTTCGGTCTATGTATCTACATTGAAATCTGGGCCACGACTAAAAAAACTATGTCCTGAAAGAGAGCAGCTGAAATCAGCTTTTTCTACAGGGTTGCCAACTTATAGTGGTCAGTAGGCCCAGTGCTGCCTGTGTGGGGCAGCCTTGCTTCTGTCAGTGTGCCCCAGTGCATCTGTGGTTATAAACATAGCTCAACTCTGAGCTGTTTCTCTATGGCAGGTGTCTCCTACACTAGTAATGAAGATCTACTGTCCTGCAGATTTTAGACTTATCAATTACTTAATTACATCTTCAGCATGCCATCAACTTTGGCAAAGGCTCGGTAATGAGCCATTCATTTGATTCAGCTGCCTTAGAGCAGGGACGCATCTAAAGCCTGCAGAACATTAGATCTTGAGGACCAGGGTTGGAGAACCCAGCTTTATGGTATTATACAGACCTCCCAAAAAGAACTAAATAAGCCATCTTAAACTTAAAAAAAGACATAAGCATCTAATAGATCTATTTTTAAGAGCCCTTTATGGTAGAGTAATCATGAACCTCTGTATCAGTTATACAAATGGAAACAATAAAAGAGCATGAATAGGGTTCTATTTGGCAAACCTTTTAACTGATCACTTCTTCCACTGCAGATATTTGCCAGAGAGATGAAAAAAATAATCTTTACATAAATGCCTAAAACCAGGGACTGGGAGGAAGAGGGGGCACCTTATTATCTTATCTACCTGATACAAATCCACTCTCAAATGTGAAAGGAGCCTGCAAGAGGTCCTGGCAGGGATGAAGCTGCAGGTTCCAGACTAAAGCTCTTACCTCCTTGGAACAGCTGGGTTTGAGTGCCAACAGAAGGAATTGTAAAGCTGTCTTCACCAGGACACTATAGGAGATAACCTAATCTCATTATAGAGTAAAGGAGCACAGGAAAGAGTAAACTTTTTTTCATTTTTCTATGCCTTGACCCTTTCTTTGTCAAATGAGATTATATTGTATGTCAAGATCAACCTGCCCTAATTGTGTTACATCCTAATTTCATATTGCTGAACTCTGCATTGAATGCCTGCTAGTGTGAAAGAGTTCTGCTATACAGCACAAATCTCAAAATATATCAAACATCAAAACACGAAAGCACACACAGAACGGTAGCATGCAGCTCTCATTCTGATATGTATGATTTAAGAACATAAAAAAAGGCTCTGTATTGTGGGCTGATATCAAACAAAATCTTTACAATTATAGTCAACTTTAACAGTCACAAGTAGCAACAGAAAATATAATTATCAAGTGTGCATTAAGTGCCAGGTTACTTTTACTGTAAGTCTGACTTACTGATTAATCCAAAGTCAATTAATAATTACATCTCTTCTGAATAGTTCACTCTAAATTTTCCCCTTTAAAATCAAAACTTCTATTTTTTTGTAACTTTTTATCGTCCACCAGGTCCTTACTCTGAATTTTTAAGATCAGTTTTCAGATTTCCAATCTGATTTAGTGTTAAATACTGACCAGGTCATTATAGTGGAGGATTTTAACATTCATGCTGACACTGAAGGTGATTAAATTCTGCCTTTAATGCTATCTGGCCTGGCTCAACGTTGAGGGGGGCTGGGTCAGTGTTGAAGCACGTCCTGATCTGTGACTCCAGACCATATTTCGGGCATCATCAGGTGCCGGAAACTAGTTAACCCTTTCACAAACAGCAATACAGCACCTACGGCCATAGTTGTCTGAAATAAGAAATCGTAATTGCATACATTAGATGATTCTGTGTATAGAATAATTCTGATATGAATTTGATAGATAATAATATATATTATTATATCAGTGGCGCAGTGGATAGCCCTGCAGCAACAAGCTTCTGGATTTGATTCCCGGCCTCGGGTCTTTCTGCATGGAGTTTGTATGTTCTCCCTGTGCCTGTATGGGTTCTTTCCGGGTACTCTTGCTTCCTGCATAAAGACCTGTTGCACCTGTGCACCCCATATAATCTGTAAGAATCCAAATACTAACATGGCCAGAACCAAAGAGCTGTCCAAAGACACTAAAGACTAAACTGTACACCCCCACAAGGCTAGAAAGGGCAATTTACAAAAAGAAAAAGGAACAGTGAAAACACACATAAATATAAAACTTATAATTATGAAATAAATACAAAGAAAAAAACATTTAAAACAAAAGTTTAAAAAATGTATCCGCATTGTTACCTTCTTGGCAGCAGTGCTTCTTTTAACAGCTAGCTTGTTAGCCTTCAACTTGTATGTTAGATGCAGTTCCTGGTTATTTAAGGAAGTATTTCCCCTGATTCCCTCTATCCTTGTTACATGGACATGTACCTGGGGCTTTTAAATGGGCCTGTTATAAACCTTTACTTAAGAAACCGTCTCGACCCAGATGACTTGGTGAATTATAGACTTATATCAAATCTTCCATTCTTGTCTAATGTTCTTGAGAAAGTAGTTGCCAAACAAAGTTTCGGACCACTTACACCATAATTAAATTTTCATCATAGTATTGAAACAGCTTGGGTGAAAGTCACTAATGATATTGTCATAACCTTAGATAATGAACTTGCATCTTTACTTGTCTTGTTACATCTCAGTGCTGTTTAGGGTCACATGCAGGACCCAAAAAATACTGAGGTCAAGAGTCAGAACTTCTATGTGGGTTCTGCAGCATGCTTCCCCAGTAATGTTGTTCATTCTAATCAATAAATCTGGCCTCCTCTGCTATTGTCATTGTTTCTCTTCCAGCACGTCTCTTTCTCCCTTTTCTGTTCCTATCTCTTCATCTTCAATAACACCTGGCTGTGTGTTTCTCGGTTCCTCTTCTCCTGTCTCCCCTGCCAAACGTTTCACACATTATAAACTGGATTTAAATGTCATCTTTCTTTTGAAGCTTCCACCTACAAGTGGTTAGGAATGTATCACAAAAGACATTCTAATTTAATTGAAAAGAGTTGCTTTATATTTGCTTTTGTATTTTAAGTGCACATCCAAACCCTATTATACTTTTATGTTTTTGGTTTCGTTTAATCTATTCACACGTGTTGAGGAAAGCTTTTGTTATAACTCTATTATAATTTTACATAATTCTTCAATTAAACATCTGGCTTTTAAAATATAAACTGTTCTGGCACCGTTTCTGCCTTTTTTTTTAGTACCTGCTCTCTCTCTATCTCACACTTCCCTGTTCCTCTTGCTGCTTGGCCACAAGAAAGTTGTCACAAAGTATTTATTATTATTTTTAAAGAGTTATCTATTTATCATTTATTATACTTTCAGTCCCGCATGATCTGCTCTGCCTTGCTGCTCTATGCTCCGGCATCCGGCAGAAATATAAAACAGTTCAACATCCAAAACTGAGAAATCAATGCTGAACAAACATTTCATTTTTGTAACAATCTTGGCTCTGATGCTGGTCTGATTCCTCACCTACTCAGCTCCACCATGTTCTTGTTTCCACTCATCTGAACCACCTGTGCCTATCAGTATATAATCATCCTTCAGACCATAAATCGGTGCCAGATTATTTTGAGCCGCTTGGTGAGATCTATTTCAGTATTTTGATTCCTGACTTCCTGCCTGTTTGCCTGACCTCAGCTCACTGGGCCGAAATCTAAATATTTCCTCACAAAAATGCTTTCTTTTCTCTCAGACATCTGCAACTTAAACTGCTCTCCACCTACATTTTTAGCTTTATCTTCTCCTCTTCCAGTGACTGCAACTGATGGTCTCACTAGGTGGTGGCCTGTGTGTGGCAGTTACCAAAGCGACAGTGCATGTTGACAACGAATCGCAGCACATATGCCCAGAAACTCAAGCTACTGTTTTATTAAACAGTTGTGCTACCCGTGGCTCTTCAGATATAAAAC